GTTCTTCATACTTTTCAGCGTCATACTTTTCAAATTGTATGACTAGCAATTTTTCATATATGGAAATTGAAAATTTAGAACTTTTTAATATAGGAAAATTTTATGAATAGCATTTTTTAACAATATGAAATCCAGCAAAATGAGGCAAAAAAAATAGTTTTATTCCCATCCCATCGACGAGCAGTCTCTGAACAGAGAAAAAAATCAGAGAAAATTTGTTTTCTCATAGTCAATTCTCCTCACACGCTGAAAAAGCAGAGCATTACTTAATCTTATCCTAGGGGGACTCCATACCAGGAGGACTGCCTCAGAACAATTAAGAAAAAACCTGTTAGCTAGCTGAGTAATCCAAAACAAGAAACAGTCCACCAGGGGCACCAATATTCTGGAATTTTTCTCTTCCAATCACATACTTGTCTTGAATGCTAAAATCGCAGAGAATTTTGCTTTTTAATCCAAGTTACAGCGATTTTGACATCTTAAATTAGTTGATTAATCGGCTCTTTTCCAGTTCCCCCCTTTCAAATTCAAATTTGAAAAGCTTATTTAACGTTGTCATCATGCAATGAAATTTGGCGTGGTGAATAAATCAACAACTGTGAACAGATTTGTTCTTCATACTTTTCAGCGTAACATCACGCATTCAGCCGTAATAACACGTAAAACAAACAGAAATCTCGGTATTTTGAAAAAGTAGAACTGGAAAAGAGCCGATTAATCAATCACTGATGAAAAAATCAAAACGCAAACTCGGATGTTCAATTAAGGAATCTGAAAAAAAAAATTGTTTTCACAAAGCATTTTGAACAAGCTTATTAGAAATCAAGTGAAAATTTATTTTTAATGGAGAGCAATTGAATAGAGAACCTCTTGTCAAAATTACTATCAATAATATGGCTATCACTACTACACCCCTTACATGGGAGTTTCAATTCTGAAACATAGTCAATCGAAGATTGGAAACAAAAAAAGCCATCAATTGTGAACAGATTTGTTTGTCAAGCCTTAAATCGTTACCTTAGCCCTGATTACCCGTAAAACAACTATTAAATTGAAAAGTTTGAAGTTAAGGGGCTTTTTAAACATCTACAGTGTTCTGCTTCACTGATTGACCAGTTTGGGCTCTTTTCCAGTTCTCCCCTTCAAAGTAACGAGTTTTTATATTTGTTTTACGTGTTATTACGGCTAAATAAGTGACGTTACGCTGTAAAGTATGAAGAACAAATCTGTTCAGAATTGTCGATTTGCTCACCACGCCAAATTTCATTGCATTGTGACAACGTTAAATAGACTTTTCAAAATTGAATTTGAAAGGGGGGAAACTCAAAAAGAGCCCCAGTTTGTACTGAAGAAAAAAAATTAACACAACCTAATACTTGACTCTTTTCTACTTTTCCCGCCCCTTTTCAAATTGCTATTATGGCTAAACGCGTGATGTTACGATGTAAAGTATGAAGATAAAATAGTTTTTCAAAATTGAAAATTTAGGGAAAATTTCAAACATTCTGTTTTGAAAGCCATTGAGCATGGAATCTTTCGATTCCATGAATGAAAATCACTCGTTTTGACTGCAATATAAACATTTTGACTACATTGAAACGGCAAAATTTGAACTGTTGAGCCAACAAAATCATCACTTCGGATAGAAAAAATTGACATTTTTTTGCCCCAACCCCAACGTTTCTAATCCCACCCCACTTTTCAGAATTTCTTTTTTGGTTGTGCTTAAAAGCGAATATTTTTCAAACGTGAAATTTCAATGTGGGAATGGAGTTGAATAGAAAGCTCTTTTCCACTCTCATCGCCGCTACGTTTCAAATAATTCAATAATAAAATATCATTTCAATATACCCACGATGGAATAAATTTTGACATGGTGAGCAAACTAACTAGTGTGAACATATTTGTTTTCCATACTCTACATCGTAAAAACACGCATTTAGCCATAATAACAGGTAAAACAACAAGGCAAGCTAAAAATTTGGGATCTTTTTACTTCCCCCCCCCCCCCACCTTACATGACCATCAATTTTATGGTGTAACGAGTGGTTTTAAAAGGTTAATTATGTTTACCAAATATTTTTGGCACAACTCAATTAGTCCGCATGTCAATTTTCAGAACGATCAGACAATGTGAACAGTAACTTTACTAGTAAAAAATTTCAGGTGGGGGTAGGAAAAAAGAGCCAAATTTTGAAATTTGCGCGATGGAGGGGTGGAAAACCATCTAACTATTTTTTCAAATCTGAACGTCCAAACACATCTACCTAAGTTTATTTTCATAGAAATCAACTTTTGGCTCTTTTTCCTTCCCCCCCCCCCCACCTCACACGAGCTTCAATATATTAGTGTAACGAGTGGTTTTACGAGGTTGAGTATGCAGATCAAATATGTTTGTCATGGCTTTGTTAGTCTGTATGTGAATTTTCATAACAATCGGACAATGTTATCAACAAATTTGCTTGTAAAAATTTGCAGGTGGGGGGTAAAAGGAAAAAGAGCCCAACTTTTAGTTAAATTTATTGAAAAAAAGCTGAAATTTTTAATTTTTTTTCGGAATCTGGGTTTTTGTCTGTTCATTATTCTTTTTCAAATGCAAACGATAAAATCTGGTACGGTTATTCATCTGCCTACTTCTTCGACTTTTTTCCAATTCCCCCGTACTTTTCAACCTTTTACCGTGTAATTATGGCTAAACGCAAAAGTTTCGATGAAAATGATGAAGAGCAAATCTGTTCACAATAGCAGGTTTATTCGTCATGCTAACTGTCGTCCATTATGTAAATGTTTAAGTACTTTTTCAAAATTGAGTTAAAAAGGTGAGGAAGTGGAATTTTAGGCGCTTTTCCAGTTCCCCCCTTTCATTTTTTCTGAAATTCATTACATGAAAGTCTTTTTTAAAAAAAATTTAATGTTATAAACTGCATTAAAACGTGTCAGCGTGAACAGCTGAACAAATTTTCACAACATTTCTAACGTGAAAATTGCCGTGTGACAATTTTTGAACATCTCTTTTTGTAATTTAACAAAGGGGGGGGGGAGCTCGAAAAGAGCCAAATTTTAGCTCAAAATTAAATATGACAACAATTGTGTAGTTTTGTTTTCAGCTTAACGAGGGTCAATTCTATTTTTGTCGGCTTGGTTGCCGCTCAGTATACTGAAATCAATACTTGTTGAACGCTGTTCATGAACACCATTGGAGACAACCTATAAAAAAGTAGTGCAGATCCAAGTCTTTTACCATTATTAAGCTTGCAATTAGCAAGCGTTATCGAACAGGATTGTAGACTTTTTCGGGTTAACAACTATTTTTCGAAAGCTTATATTTTGTAATTCTTGCGTTAATTAGTCGTGCCAATACTTTTTTAAGAAAAATTCCTGCTTTTAACTTCGTAGCTTTTTTCCATTTTACCCGATTTTTCAATTCAATTTTGAAAAGCTAATTTAACTCTTTCATAGTGCAAGAAAATTTGGCATGGTCAACAAATTAACAAATTTTATATCGTAACATCACGCACTCAGCCATAATAACAAGGAACAAGACAATGAAAATCAAAAATTGGAAGAGTATATTTTTGCTCTTTCACACATGCTCTTTCACGACAAGGTATGAATGAAAAATGAAATATTAGAACGCATGAATAAAAAAGGAAATCATTTGCATAGTTTGGCGCACTTTTCAGGGCTCTTTCACAATTATCCGGCATCTTTCCCTCAGAAAGAGCTAAAACATACTTTTCAACAGTTAGAACATAGTTGAAGATGGCCTCGGGCAAAAGAGCCGCACTCGGGCACTTCGTGCCCTCAGGCCGGGCTCTTTTTCCCTCGGGCTTCTTTCAACTATGTTCTAACTACTACAAAGACCGCAGAGTAGAAAAAGAGCCACTCTTTGCAGTAAATTTTAACGGCGTAAACTTTAACAAACAAAAATAGCCAACTTTTTGAAGATATATGAATTTCATTCAAAATTTGCCTGCAAGGGCTTTAATGTGGTATATCACTCGATGTGGTTTATCACTCGGTATATCCGATTCTTATTTGTGGTATCTGATTTGGGAAAAAACCCTAAATCACCCAAATACAAAATGTCTCCCCATTTTCAATGGTCGGAACAATATTGATAACCTAAAATGAATTGCACATTAAATGGATCTTCTTGTCTCAAACATATTTAGATGCTGGATCGAAAGTGACCCAATGTATCACAATATGGGTGGTCGTAATCTGAGTCGCAGCTGCTACCGGGGAGGGGGTGTGAGTTCCGGAGGTCGTATCATCAACGGAATGGACGCGCACCTGGAAGACCACCCCTGGGCTGTGTACATTCTCATGTGTCCAACAGCAGACAGGTTAGACACAATCTGCCACAATTTTTGCTGAAATAACAAGTTAATTGGTTAAATCATAAACATGTTTTTGAAGCTGCTTTGAAGGATCATATTTTTCCAGAAGTTATCTTTAAAATGTTTTTTTTTGAAGCAATTGGCGTAAAATGCACCTCCAAGTAATCTTTTTTGAATGAAAAAGCAAAAGTTTTTCTAATTAAGCAAAATTTCCTAAATCATGTCATTTTTCAACTATAGTCATTGTCACTTGTTAGGTTTCGACGTTGTTAGATTTAAATGTAAATGTATGTAGTCTTTGTTATATTGATTGTTAGAGATTTCGAGCTAATAAAACCAAAACGGCTGCTTTAAAAAGATAGATCAATTTTTTCGAAACATCTCGTCAAAATATTCTGCATGCTACTGCCTGATGCGACAATTCGTAACAAGAGACAATTAGTAATAATAGTAGATTAGGCGGGGAACATTGATTCACGCGCAGTAACCCAATATTCTTCTCGTGCTGGATGTAAGCTCAGTGGAGCGAAACGGATCAAGCGTATTCTACTTGCCAATGTCTTGTTACGAATTATCGCTTGATCCAAATTTTCGCTTGTTACGAATTGTCGCCTGTTACGAATTGTCGCCTGTTCCGAACTGTCGCCTGTTACGAATTGTCGCCTGTTCGGAGTTTCCTCCTGTTATGAATTGTCGCCTCTTATGGCAACATTGTTTGAACAAGTGCAACTTCTTTGGCGAGCAAAAACAATTATCGTGATCGGCCGTGTATGCAAGTTTCCCGCACTGGAGTTCCTTGGATAATAATCGATTATATTGTCATTTTATAGTCAGTAACTATAAAATTACAAAAGTAATTGATTATAATCCATTAAAACGGATTATAATAATCATAATCCATTGTAAACAATTATAATCAATTATAACGTATTTTTTGAGAAGAAATTATAAAATTTGCAATTTTTTTCAAAGTTATCTCATTTCCTGTTTCGTGCAGTTGTTACGTATTACGTTTCATAAATCTTTACTTTTATATTTACTTAATATTTACTTATATTTACTTTTATATTTACTATCTTTACTTAAATATTTCTATTTATTTAAGTTTTCTCCGCTTTATCTTTACTTTTCGTAAACTCCATAACCTCTTTTAACAACCCCTTCCCCAGTTTACTCCCCCCCCCCCCCCCACAGTTTACCCACCGTCCCCCCCCCCACCCAGCAATTTATCTCCTTCAAAACAGCTTCAAAGCTTACTTCCTTCGAAACAGCTTTCCCCCATCTATTTTAGTGTAACCAAACACCCCCTCACCCCCACCCCCTTCCTCCGTTTACTGAACGTGGGCAGGGTAAAAAAACGGGGGAGGGGTGGAACAAAAAAATTGGGTGAGGGTGTTAAACTGGAGAGTGGGAGCGGGGTGTAAAATGTAAATAAGGGGGGGGGGTTGTTGGGGTTGGTGGTAAGCTTAAGGAAACATAGGGTGGGCATAGAGATGAACGTAGGGGAAATGTTGCAATTTTGCAAACAATTTTGCAAAAAAAATGTAAAGATTATAATCCGTTATAATCAAATATAATGGATTTTTAATGGATTATAATCCATTAATATGAATTTTAATGGATTGTGTTTTTACGAAAATAATCGATTTTAGTGACAATATAATCGATTTCGTGGTCTAAATTTACAACAATGTCAACATTATTATAATAACAACATTTTGGAGAACAATTTTTCATTATAATCCATTATTATCCATGGAACTCCGGTGCGGGTTGAGACCAAGTGAACAAGCTCTCCCCATAATACATTTTAAGGGGGAGATTGTTGATTTGGTTAACAGCAATACTTTTCAGCCAATCGTAGATTTGAGCATTGTAGATGCAAGGCCTTACGGCTTGAACTTGCGACTTAATTCTAGGGAGAGATTGTTCACGATTCAGGTTGCTTGAGACTAAATTTATTCAGTGAAAACTTTAAAAAAAAAACAGATTTCTGATCGGAAAAAATCTTGTGTTTTTTAGCAAAAAAAACTGTGAAATGTGTGGCGGCGTTATCCTCTCCCGCAAAACAGGTGCGTTGTTTGTAATATATTTCTGAAAACCAACATTTGGAATCTGATTATTGATCATGTCGACTGTTTAGTGTTGACTGCAAAACACTGTGTCGTGGAACCTTGTTACGGGTATATCACCTATGGAGAAATCAACAAAAACAAAGGTAAGTTATTAATCTGTAATTATTGTGACGGTTTCTTTTTTGGGGAGGCGGAGGGTTTTAATTTTGATTTTAGACGAATTTAATCTGAGTAGAAAAAGGTTCCTCTGTGTTTCAAAAACTAGCAAGCAGAGTTGGTGTAGATTTTTTGGCGAGAACTTTAGTTTAATAAGGTACAAATATTTACATCTATAATTTTTGCCAAGGGAGCTAATTTAGTATATAATTTGCCAAATTAATCGACATTTGGCACGAACTAAAAATTAGGAAGTTGATGCGCTTTTCTCTTTATATTTAGAAAAAATCTTACTTTTTTATCATTTAAACACTGCAAGGTTTGACATTTTTATAACCTTATTAGAGCATTTTGAACCGACATAAATGCGGCATCATGATAAACCAGTTTAACCAACTGTTTATTCTTCTGGGTAACTGATTCTTCCAGGATACCAGTTTGACTTCGACTGCACCAATGGCCAACAGGTGATCACACACCCCTCACTAGACATAGCAGTCATCAAACTACACAGTGGGAGGAGATTCAAGAAAGATTTCACCTCTATCTCCGTTCCCAGGGACCGATGGAGCAGCCGCAGGAGGGACAGCTGGTTTATGCCACCGGGTGGGGCCGCAGTTGTGAGCAGGACGGGGCAGTCTGTGCCAACCAGGACAAGCACCCCGATAAACTCCAAGTACCTAACCGATTATAATGGCATTATACAGGCACTTTCCGACTAAAAAAAATGATTATGGAGGTGACAATTCTTTTTTCATACCTATCATTTGCAATTTGCAGTTAAATGCGTAAATCATGATTGGTTTTTGAAACAAAAATCTCAATTAATTTTTTGTTCCAACAATGCAGCAGTCGGTAAGAGGATTTGAATTTCATGTCATTTTTTTGGTTTTGTGTGATAATTTCGTGTGATTGCTAATCAAATCTTTTGAGTTGCAATAACTATCCTAAATTATCCTAAACTTTTTGATTTGCGATTTTAATTATCACTTAACTAAGTCTTTTAATCCCCCGGCTATAAAGTTAATGGATTTAGAGTGGTTTTATATTCTAAAGTATAAAATTAATAGACGTTGGATCCGCAGTCATAGTTTAGATATAATTACAAAAATGATATAGGAGCTATCGGATTTTGCGAGTTGTCGTAATTATTCGTTTGAACGAGTTGTCTTTTGTCGTGTTACGCCTCAGCACATGGTTAACAAATTTTATTTTTTTTAGCAATGATAGTTCATAACTATCTTGAAACCTTCAGCCTTGAAACCCTGAATTTCTCGTCCGAAAACTAAATCTATGTTTTTCAGATGGTGAAGATTCAAGTAACATATGGGGAGTGTCCCTACAACAAGAAGAAGCTGTTCTGTGCAGGGGGCATAGATAAACAGGGACTGCCCAAGGACGCCTGTCAGGGGGACTCCGGGGGACCACTAGAATGCACGGACACCGAAGGTACCATTGCTGTTCAAGCGGGTTTCATTCGCCAGTGTTCATTTCTATTTCTCTTTGACAGACCATCTCTCTCTCTCTCTCTCTCTCTCTCTCTCACTCTCTCTCTCTCTCTCTCTCTCTCTCTCTCTCTTGTTCCGACCATTGAATATGGGAGTAACTTTGTATTCGGGTGTTTTAGTTTTTTCCGTTTCTTTGTTTTCCACACAAAATCAGGTACCACAAATAATCATCTGAAAAAGTCGAGTAATCATATCAAAGCCCTTTCAAAATTGAAAAAGCTTCTCAGTTCCGAGAAAAACACTTTGAAAATTTATTGTTTTGTCTAATTTCGAGCAAAATGGGTGCGCGAGTAGGCTAAAAATAGCTCATTTATGCTTGACTTAAGCCGTGAAATTTTAGTTTTACACGAAATAAATTATTTTCCGGTGTCTGTTTGCGCTATTTTGAGAATTTGAGAAAAAATCAAAAAAATTCTGCAAAAATTATGAAAAAAAAAATAATTAATTTAAAAAAAATTTTATACAAAAACTGTTTTCCAATTTGCTTATTTCGAAGTGTTTTAATATGACTGTCGAAAATTTTATACAAAAACTGTTTTCCAATTTGCCTATTTCGAAATGTTTTAATATGACTGTCGAAATTCTAGACAAAGAAAATTTTTTATTTTTAAGACTATGGTCGGAACATTCTGTGCTAACTGCACAGTAGCCGGCTCTCCTAGTTTTCAAATTTCTGTTTCTATGTTTTTCTGTCGCAGAAGAATTTGCCCGAGTAAGTTGAATAAGGCCCTTGAAGAATGTTTGGGTTTCTTAATTGGGAAGCTTGGCTATAATTGCTATTTTTTGAAAATAACGTTTCTGGTAAACCAACTAGATTAGCCCTCGGTTCGAGAGACTCAATTAATGTTTCAATTCGCAAATCAAGCAAAATGCCAGCGCTCGATGAAAAAAATAATTCAGACTGGGGTTTGGCGGATTTTATCAAAAATTGCATGTAGCGCGTTCCGTAACATGTAGCAAAAAAAGAAGCCGCCATTGGTCATGGATTCCGCAAATGAGTTTCGTAAAATTATGTATTGGGGTATGTGCACAGAATCCACGTACTTATAGGCACGAAAGTGTGCTTTGAAAAAAATACACACCTAGGCCCGTCCTATGAGATAAAACATAATTTTTAAGCATATCTCATGGTCTAAATACACACGGTTTGAAGCAGGGGCGGATCTAGGATTTTCTCGAGGGGGGGGGGGCGGATTTTCAAAAAATTTTCGAATTTTTGTCGACCTGTTTTTAGGTCGACCAAATTGGTTTTCCGAGCTCTCCCAAAGCACTAAAAATTCCTTAATTTAGCCAAAATGTCTGCGCCGCAGGCAAGATTTTGAAAAAAAAACAGGCCAAAAGGGCGTTTTAGGCACTTTTTGGAAAATTTTAACCAAAAAATCTCGTCTTTTCGGCGCGCGCTTCCTCCTTAAAATAAGTTTATATTGGCGCCACAGGCGCCTTTAGAAAAATTTTAGGGTCGGTCAGCCAAAATTGGATATCTGAAAAAAGTTCAAAGGGGACCCTTTGGGTCAGTAAGAGGTCGAATACGAGAGAGGAGGCGTGAGACGGAAAAGGAAATTCCAAAACGTAGTTATCTGTACAACGCATTATAATTATCAATGACCATGATTAGCATTTTAATAGAAAAATCATCCTGCGGCATTACTACAAAACTTAAGATATAGCTTTTATTTCTGATAAACTCACTGTAGTTGAGATGGTCAAATTATATCTGCCTTTCGAAATTTTGAGATTTTTAAAATCGAAATATATCTAAATTCGATCTTGACGGTCAAAACATATGCAAAATTAGTTGAGATGGTCGAACCATTCCAAATTTTGGTAGAGAGGCGTCGAAACATAAAGTGAGTACCTCATTCCGGACAAGAACCATAAAGAGCACTTATGGTTATTACCTGACTCTACAGCTGAGCGCATCGCGAATTAGGAATCACATTCTGAGAAAACATCGACTGACGTTATCACAATCGATTGTGTCTAAAAATTAGCATAGAAAAGAATTATATAACAAACTATATTTCAACTTATTCAGTTAATTACACCAAACGCTTTAAAGGTAGATTTTGTTCAAATGTAGGTTTTGTGCAGCTTCAAGTAATCTGAGTTAATTATAAATGCTCATTATCCTTGCGATAGCAAAGGTATTGCACTCGGGTACTAAAGTTTTTTCCCGTAATTAACTTTGTCCACAGGACTCACTGGACTCCAGGTGGTACCTTGGTCATAATGAACTCAAACTTGGTTGTTTATTCTGCACACTTAGCCTGGTGGTAACGAATACGCTTGGGACGTCAACAAAGGTCATAGGTTCAAACGGTAAAGGTTCCGGCTTTAAAAAATTTGGCCTATGATTTGTCTGCTTATGTTTTGTCGACCTAGTTGCCACATCTAAAAACCGTTCATTTTAGCTGTAAGCAATTTTCACTGAAATTGTTCTTAGCATTTTAATAATGCGGCCGAATAGAAATTTCCTTTTCACATTGGCTGTAAATTCACAAGCTCAATTTTTTAAAATTTCAATTTTTGTCTTTTTTTCCGTCTTTTTATTGGCTTGGTAAACTTTGATTTAATTAATATTGACTTACTGGCCTCTTATTACGTCGTTAATTCCGAAAAAAGTTTCTTTGCGCGTGATTGCGCTCTGAGGGGAAAATACTGAACAATTTTTTAAATTTAATAATTTTTTGAATTTTTTTTCGGCATGAAGAGTTTTTGCTCAGTTTTTTCGGCTTTGTTTGTTATAAATTCACATCCAATCATCGATACGGCGCATATGGCGTATAGGTAAAACCACTACTTGAGAAGGCAAAGATTTGCGGTTCGAATCAGGCTGGGCCCTTTTTTGCAAACTCTAGTGTTTGTGCTTTTTCGGACTAGCGTCCGTCTGTATATTTTTGCCGGCTTAGTTCCCTCAGTTCGATGGTTCAGCTTTATTCCCAGTTGCTCTATTACCCATGCTTGACGCGACAATGCTCGGGAATACGATTTTAGTTGAGACCTGTTTTTCTTGCAAAAAGAAAATTTTGGCTAATTCAGATTTTTGTCTATCAGCTTAGTTTTGTCTGTGCTTAGTTCCGCAGCAAGGACTTTATTTTGAAAACTTGGCTTCTGTATAGCATTTCCAAAGCCTTTTGTAGAGTTTCTAATAGTGCAGGCAATTTTTTTCCGGATATTTTGGGCTTTTGTTGCAGTTTTTATTGACAAAAATGACTTTTTGAATTTTTTTCCGTTTCATTTTCATAGTCATTCATATTTGTATCGCAAAGGGTGCGAAGCTGAGCTTCGCCTCTGTGTTACAATTTGATGCTGTTTATCAGGTAAGATCTACCAGTGTGGGGTAGTGTCCAGTGGTCCGGCAGCACCCGAGTGTGGCAGGAGGCCAGGTGCCTACGTGCGACTGGCTGATCCGGACACCATCCAATGGCTCATCAATGTGGGCGGAGCACAAAACCAACTCAGAATAAGTAAAAATGCGCAACTAAGAATAAGAATTTCTAGAAAATTTGCACCTTGTTCGGGGGCAGATTTAGGGGGGGATGCCCTTTCCTCAGGGATTCGACCCCCTGCCGACCCAATGGGTCCCCCTTTGATACTTTTTATGAAATCCATTTTTGACCGACCGACCTTTTTTTTTCTAAAAGCGTCTTTGGCGCCAAATTTTACTAATTTTCAGGGGGAGTGCGCGCCGAAAAAACGCAATTTTTTGTCAATTTTTTCCAAAAAGTACCCAAAAACGGCTTTTTGATCTGCTTTTTTTTCCAAAATTTGCCGGTGGCGCAAAAATTCGGCCAAAACAGGGTCTTTTTAGTGCTTTAGGAGAGTTCGGGAAATCAATTTGGTCGATCTAAAAGAAAAAAAGTTTGTCAACTTTTCGAAAAAAATTTTGAAAGTCCGCAACTAAACCCCCCCCCCCCCCCCCCCCCCCGAGAAAATCCTACATCCGCCCCTGACCTTGTTGCATATTTTATAAATAATTTTAACTGCGACATTTTGGTGCGTTATTCAAAAGATTATGAGCGTACTCTTGTTTGTTTTCGGTTGATTTTTCTCAAAGCTAAAACTTTAGTAACTAGCTTCTGCTTTCAGAAAAATGTTCTGAAAACAAATAAGAAAATTTATCTGAAAACAAACTATTACCACATAGTAATTCTTTAAAAATTAAAAAAAAAACGATTTGAGAGAAGTGATAACTCATGATGCCATACTACTAGCACTTTTCCGCTATAATGATTCTAAAAATTTTCTATAATAGTACTCTTTATATGATGTGGAGATAGTCTAGTAAAATGACTTCTCGAGGTAATACTTTTTTTCAAATCTGAGACAAGACTGCTCGTTCATCAGAGGAACGAATTTTCCGACTGCTCTTAAGGTCAATTGAAAAAAATTTTGAGTTTTTCTGGTCGAATAATTGACAAAACAATTGAGAATAAAGATTTTTTTTTTCATTTCAAACCCCCACACGATGTATGTAAAAAACGAAGGGTGTGTTTACGGTTTCGTATTGGGATAATAGGATTAATTTGCTGACCTCAATTCAGTTTAGAACGCATTAATTTGCTTCTTATGCGTATTATAAGCAAGCAATATGTCGCACTTTAATTATCCCAAAATAGTTAAATTAGCAATTTTCAAACGCCCGTTATTTTACAAAAAAGATCGGGTAAGAAAAATTTTCTCAAGTTGAGCTTAGGATTTTGACATCTCTCAGATGGAATAAAAAATACGTCAAAAAAGCTTAATTAACAAGTCGAAAATTGACTGAATAAAAAACCCACACAAAGCAAAACTATTCCGGATTTTCTTAGAAAATCATAACGTGAAATATTTCCTGAATGTGCAATTGGTACCAACACACTTGAAACATGAAACTCAAAATAATTACTAAGAATTTTTAAAGACAGCAGTCATAAAATATAATGAAACAGATCAAGTTCACGTGCTTTAAGGCCATTCGAGGAGTCGCCCCATAGAAAAACCTGTACAAATTGAGTTGAGGAGAAAAAAAAAGTGCTTGTGTTGCACCAAATTTAACAAACTTTTTTTCTAGGACTTTGACAAAGCTCTCGCAAAGTTAAACTGATTAATGATAAAAAATAATAATAAGATTGCTCGTATTAGGGCAACGCCTTGAATATTCTGGCTGTCCATAAACTGGTCTCGAATGGTTTTTGGTCAATAAAATATTGACAAACTGTGAATTTTAAGCTGTATATTAAGAATTGTGTATGGAATTAATGAGATCAATTAGCCTGCCTAAATTTAGTTTGGAACGATTTTGTGGTGCGGGATAACTCGTCACGCGTAATTAATGCGCTCTAAGTTTTCAGCATCGAAGTATCGCAACGCTCTTAAAGTCACGTTAATCTATTTCTGAGCGTTTCACAGCATGCTGTAGCCTAAGATACTGAAGTGGTGAGCGCATGCATTCTAGAAATACAAAGCTCCAAGGATCAAGCCGTCACTGGGAAAAATTTTGTCCGAATAAAAAAACACCCAGAGCATATATATTTCTTACTTTCTTCGAAAATCGGAATAATAATTGTCGTTTCTGCGATTCGCAGAAGATCTATTAAAGGCTATCCAGCATGTCTAAGCGTGGTCCGTTTTTCTTATTTTCTCATATGTCAAAGTGAGTAATCGTGCAAAGCAAAGCTGGTTTTTATAACCTAAGGACAAGTGAACCTGCGCGCTCAAAAAGTTGACTCTTTCAATTTTTGATTGAATCGTTTTACTAGAAAGAAACAACACCTTGATTAACGCCGCTTCGTGTTTCAGAGACACTATCTGCTACTAGATCGGACACAAAAAAAGACAGCCAGGCAGAAGCGTTGCACTATCAGGGAACGAAGAAAGTTTCAGTGTTAATTATTATGCTAAGCATGCTGATTTGGATTTAGTTTGTGTAGATGCTATACTGATTCTAATGATATTTTTGAATGGTATTAAAAAGACTTTTGTTGTAATTATTTTTGATTTGATATATACCTATATGAAAAAAATGACGCCTTAAAAGTTGGAATAAAGTATTTGACCCTAAAAACTGATTCGATGAAATTCACATTTGAAGATATTCATATCTTGGAGTACTTTTGAGTAATAATTAAAAACGGCTCCAAAATTTTACAGTCTGGATTCAAAACTATTGCAATCTGAAGTGTTCAATTGAGTAAATTAAGCAAAATTTTTTAGTATAGGATTGAGACTGTACCACAAAGCTAATAAAAGCTATTTAAAAGAATTTTAAATCTGAAATTAAGATAAGACCTAAGGACGACAAAGGACTATTACGTTTATTCATTGCCAAAAAAAGACGTCACTGGACAAATCGAAAGATCTCCTGATGGCTTCCCAAAATAGTGCTTCATCAAATTATACATAAATGGATCTTTGGTTGTAGAATTTCGATTTGAAAAAAAATCTTCATTTGTATTATAGCTGACAGAATAAAAACATATGGCAGTTTGGTTTAAAGGCCATAATTATCCAGTCACTTATAATTAATTTCAGAGGTTCTTTTGTTATGGAAGCAATCTCGTAAGCAACAGAAAGAAATTGAAATTATGTACCAAAAAATATTCTTAGGAAATAATGAACTTAAATTGCTTTTTACATTGCTCCTTTTTACACTGCGAAAAACCAATTCAATATATGAAAAATATAAAATAAGAGCATCAAAAAACAAATGCAATTGCTCTTGACGATTGAGAAGTTATAATGTCATAGCTGCTTATGTCAATAAAAAAATGGACAACAAAAAAGGGAACTAAATAGTCAGATTTTCATTTTGTTGTTAGTAATTTTAGCGTTATTTTTACATAGAGCAAAGAGCAAGGTAACCTCATCAGCCTTCCAAAAAAACTTCTTCAGTCCATGAATTCAGATTCTACGAAACTTTGAGGATTTTTCACAACACAAATATCTCTGAAACTAATTATAATCGACTGTTTAATCAAAACCTCCATATCATAATAAGTAGAAATGTCAACACACCAGAGACTATTAAATAATTTTACCAGCCATTATTCAGAGTTTAATCGTATGCCCAAAAAGTTACTTAGAAATTGGCAACAACAATTATAAAATTTTAAAGAGATTTACTACAATTTTGTAGACACAACGGTGAATGATTGAAGTTATGCTGATTGATTTGCTCATTTCATTTTTGGTAGGCCAGTGCAAAAGTTTTTCGAAGTTTTTTTATAGCACAAAAGTTTAACTATTTGAAGGGCAGTGCATGCTTAAACAACACAATTTCATCCCTACGAAAACGTAATTTTCTGAAAGCAAAGGATTGAAAACGAGAAGAGAGGTTGTTTTTAGTTTAACAAAATTGTTAAATTTAAATTTCATTTCCTGAAACTAATAAATTTGAGTGAAAGTAACAGCGCAAAAATCAGATTTATGAGGTAATAGAAGCGTAAAGTGTTCACAAAAAATTTGGTTCAAAGCCAACTATAAAAAAGAAAGCCCACAAACAATTTTCAATTAGTCTATATTTTTAATTTTAAATTCAAATTATACACAACCCGAAAATTAAAATGTAGTTTTGCCTCAAGTATATTTGAAACCAGTTGAGGATTTAGGAAAATTCGGGCCTTGGGAATGGACTTCTTCTTGAACCAGGGACTTGACTTCTTTGCGACCTCCTCTTTTTGCTGAGGGAACCTAAAAGATTTCTAAAGTCTTCTCTGGTGCCAATATACATATGTTTTTGAAAAAGGAGTTTCGAAAAAAACCTCCAAAAACACTCCAAAAAACGCATAAAATTGTCTCTTTTTAATCTGTTGTTAAAAAATTTTATATGCGGCGCAAATTTTTTGTCATAGGGTCTATCTAGTAATTTGGGAGAGTTCGTAGTCAATCTAGAAAAAAACGAAAAGTTTTTCGAAATGATTCTAACTTCGAGAAAATTTTTGATTCGTCCTTGCCTTCAATGTTTGGTTACTTCGGTGCCAACCAATAAATAACCGTTAAAAATCTTTTGAAATGAATTCCTGTTTCAATGAAAAAGTTTGTAGCTTATTCCTTTTGCTTGGACTGAAAGTAGAGATTGCAGAAAATTTGAACTTTGATGCTACTCTTCGATTGATTATTTGCAGAAAAATTTTAAAAATATAATTATAAAACGTTTATAGAGAAGGATTTTTTTTGCAATCAGGGCGTTGATTGAATTTACGGGGACTAATCCTTAGTAAAGGGGAACTCAAAAACACCACTAATCAACAGATTGCCCCCTTTTGATACTATCTTATGATATCTCTTTTATTAGACCAGTCCAAAATTTTTCCGAAAAATTTCCAAATCGGTAATATCTAACGCATTTTTTGTTCAATATCCAGGAAAGTGACCGCGAGGGGGCTTTTGGGTTCACTTATGCCAATATTTGTTTAAAAAGGAGATAGCTTTGCCAAAATTGGGACTTTTTCACGTTTCAAGAGAGCAGAATTGGTGTTTACTCTACCTGTAGAAGACAACCACTCTCTGAAAAAGCAAGCAAATCCCTGATTTTTGATTTAAAATTTTCATGCTGGTGGCCTAAACATTTTTAAATTTAGGTTTTTGGTCAAAAAAACACTTGACATCTCCTGGACTTACGCGCAATAAAGTTCCACGGATAATAATCGATTATCATGGGTCTTCATGGTCTGTCTCCACAGATTTCCAAAATAATCGATTATAAAATAAACAAAGTAGAGATCATTTTATTCGATTATAATTTATTTTAATGGATTACAATGGATTGAATCTGACTATAATAGATAATGATGGATTTTAAAAGACTTTTATGAGTAAGAGCCTCGCTTTTTCAAAACCTTGAAATTAAAAGCTCATAACTTGAACGTTGCAGTCGCTTAATTGTGTTTTACGTTTGACTACAGCCAAAAATTGTATTGTTTTCTACTTTTTTCTTTTATACTCCCCTCCCCCTAAATACTTCACTCCTAACTCTCACCCTTCCTACTTCCTTCGCTTACCACCACCTCCCCTTTTCCCCACCACCTCCCCTCCCCTACCACTTACCCCTTACTTACATTTACTGTAAAATTACGTGAAAAAAAATTATCAGGGAGGGGTAGGTGTGTGTGGGTTACGGTAGGTGGGAGGGTGGTAGGCCTTGGGTGAGGATAGGTAGGAGGCGTAGGTTTGTGTGGAGGTTAGGTAGGGGGAAGGTAGGATAATGTAGGTCCGCGTATCAATGTGGGTAAATGGGTATAATTTTGGGCGTGTTCAACTTGGGTACGACAATTGAGAATAACTGAAGTTAAAGTGGTAGGGATAAGGTTCTGCAAAAGTTAACTCAAAGGGAGTACAGTACGTTTAGAAATTGAGTAGGCTATGAGTAATGCAAAAAAAATTTGCAATGTTTTGCAGAAAATTTGAAATTTTTTTAAAAAGATTATAATCCATTATTATCAAAAATAATTTTACATTTTGTATTATAACCAATTTATGTGGTCCCAAAGTCTAATTAGAACAGATTATGATGACAAATTTTTGACCACAAAAATTCAACTATTCGTAAACCACCACGTAAACAACCAAATATTTAAGTTTCTGATGGATTTTTGTTTGTTTTTAGCGTGTTAAGCAAAGTGAGAAGTTTTGAGTGCTCAAATTTGACTTCCAATTTTGGCAGATCATTATAAAGAAAAATTATCTAACAATTTATTGCGCCAATAAAAAATAGTTTTGATAGAGTGTGCTCTATCAAACTTGATCAGTTGATCTACAATTACAAAAGTGCTTCGAAAGCTATTTTAGGTCAAATAATTGCAAGCCGCGCTTAGGTTAAAATTTGTTTTTAATGCTATTTTCAGAAGTAAATGTTTCAAAGAATTAATTGGGCACTCGTTTAGAAGGACGGTTTCGCCATGTTTAGTAGTTCTCAGTCATAAATACTTTGAGCTGGGCAATTCAAAATTATGGTAACTAAAGAATAACTCTTAAACAATGATCTAAGTTTTTTGAAAAATTATACTGTCCATTTACAAATTCACAGGCAAAATTTTAAAAAAGAGAAAACAAATCTTTGTCTCGACAAATTGAGTTTTGGAATTTTGATCTGACCAAACTCAATTTGAGTATAAAAAAAACAGCCCAGTGAAACTTTGATATCTGATATATTTTTTTCTATTTATTTGAATTTAAATAATTTTTTTGTTCCCAACTTTTGAAGAAAACGAAATATTTATGCTTGATGTCGGTTTTTTTTGTTTAGTCGAATTTCGGCGATCGGAATAATAGTTTTTAACAAAACACTTTTATGCCCCATTGAACCGCCCAAATTCAAATTTAAGAAAATATTTTACCTCCGATAGTTTTTGCCAAGTTTTGTGAGTTTGAAAATTGCCAATTTGACCATGCTCTGGACAAATTTATGCGCTCTTTGTCGATTTTATCTATAATCTTGAAAGCGTAACGCGAATTATTTAAGCGTTGCCAATTATTCCGCACAGCAAAATTGTTCCAATTTAAATAGAGTCTACCTAATTGGTCGTATTATTTTTCACGCTTGATCTTTGATATTGTTCAAATTTTTTTAGTTTTTTGATATTTTTTTCCTTAAAAACTAGTCGATATGGATTAAGGGTCAGTCGGAACATTCAGGGCTTTGCTCTGATATACGAGCAATTTTGCTTGACTGAAGCATGAATTTTGCCGGAGATCATGAAGCTTTTTTTGGGATAATGCTTAAAAGAGGTTTGTAATGAGACCATCTATCTAAACATGTACTGTCAATTGTCAAAAAGAGAGATATCGGTTAGGAATTTAAAAATTATTGAAATCTGTAGTCGAATAATTAATTAACTTTTTCTCAATTTGTTTAAAAGATTGAAAAACTCAAATTGACTTAAGTTAAGTCAATCAGAACATTTAAGACCATGCTCTCATACGAACAATCTGTTTTTTAAACGCTTGTTGAAAGAGTAGGAAAAAATTACAGTAATTTTTCATCTAATTCTTAAAAAAAATTTACAAACTCAATGGACGTTAAATGGTATATCATATTAATCTTTTTTTTTATACTTGTGATTTGGATTTTTTAAAAAATCGAAAAACATAAGTATCGAGAAAAAACAGGTCTGTATCTTCTGGCTGTATCTTCTGTATCTTCTGACTCAAAACTAGGGAAGGCTCAATTTTTATGATAACTAATTTCAAAGTTGTTAGCGTTCCGACTTTCGATACGAAAGTAACGGAATATTTGTGCTCGGGTGGGTTTTTTTTCTTCAGACAAATTTCGAATTTTTAACTAGCCATTTTTGACCAATTTTTTAAAAATCATCCGAAAGACATTGTTGTCCCGAGCTTAGAAATGAAAAGATATTTTACCTGTGATCATTTTTCGTAAAGTCATGGGGGTTTGAAGTTTGTCATTTTGGCCAGTTTGGGACATTTAACGCGCGTTATATTTCGCGCTATTAACGCGTAAGCGAAGTTTAATCTGGCTTAGAAGTCGATCCAAGTTGGTGGCTGAAAGAAGCTTATTTGCCAAAATTGATTTGTTACATGGAGCGAAATCTATCTTTTTGTACTTTATATGGCGTGTGGGGGGATGATTTTCATTAAAAAAACTTCAAACTTTAGAAAAAAAAAATTCATTTTATTTTATTACATTTAATTAATTTTTTATGTTATTACTGCTCCATAAACTTTCAAAGGCAGTCAAAACTTTCGGGTCTTCGCCCTGATACGAGCAGTCGGGTTTTTTTAAGAACAAAATTTAGGCGGTTAATTTATCTGCCAAGTATTAAAGCAACCTGTGGATTGGCCTTCTCGCTGGAAAAATCCGAAAAATCAAGATACGGTCCGAAAATTTTTCGCTACTTGCCCAACCACCGTTGTGGATACTCTTGTTTTATTAAACAATGTTTTATTTTGTCGTTTTTCTGAGGTTAAAAATCCACCAAAACAATTTTTTTGATAATCGAACTGAGTCTGAAAAGAAAAAGCCAGCACCAGCTTCGGTTATCCTCTCGTTTTACTGAAAAAAAAAGCTAGATAAGTTTTGTCAGTTTCGGGATACAAATATTAGATCACAAGAACTTCTGTTTGTTAAGTGTTACAGTTTATTTAAATCACCCTAATTCATCTCCAGTTTTTGTTGTTCCGACTTTCGAAGAAAACGGAATTTTTATGCTCGGTGGTTTTTTTTATTCAGTTAATTTTCGCCGATCGAAATAATATATTTCAACAAAAATTTTTTATACCCCATTCAATATGAAAACATTTTCTACCTCAAATTATTTTCTGTAAAGTTCTTGGGGTTTGAAAATTGCCAAATTGGCCATGTTCTGGACTAAATTATATGCGCTTTGAAAAATTTATTCATAATGCTGAGAGCGTAACGCGAACTGAACTGTTTATGCGTGGCAAATTATCCCGCGCAACAGAATTGTTCCAAAATGACATGAGGCCAGCTAAATTGTCGTATTAATTTCGCATGACTCACAGTTTCACATTTTGGTATTGTCTTACAAATTTTCAATATTTTCTTTTCCCAAAAACTGTTCGTTCTAAAATAAGGGGCAGTCAGAACGTTCAAGGCTTTTCAAATAATCCAAATTTTTGAATCTGATTGCAGAAATCTGCTGACAACTTAATATTGAGCCACAGCTTAGATACGAGAATATATGAACCTATTTTCAGTTCCACAATATCATTTGCAAGCATTAACCTATAGTGATATCACAACTATGCTAAAGTGATGGAAAATGGCGGCCGAAATTTGATTTTTCTGCAAAATGTAACCGAAGCTTGCAAAGAACTCAGAACAAAATGCTGAGATTCTTGCTCACTGTTTTTGCCTTATTTGGAGCTGGAAGTGTAACTGCAGATGGGTACTGGGATCTAGAACTTTCTCCCCACAGTGTGGCAAGTGTACCTTACGACGAAGGCCATATTTCTGTGTGGGAGCACGCGTCTACCAAAGGACGATACTACGCCATGTCACTTACCTTGCTTCAACCAGAGATTGCAAGAAGTAATCGCAACTCTCTCCGTGGCGAGATTGAGATTTCATTTGAAATACTTATGTGGTCTGAGACAATAAAACACGTCGTTTTCAGGTAATTTGACATTCGTCTGCAAACTTGACAAATAAAGAAATGATTCGGATGTAACTGAGTCTAATTGGATTATACAATTTTTGAATTTTTGAGCTATTCGCACTTCAGTTTTTCATTGTTTACAAAAGTTTTAGATCGGAAAGTTTCCTAGCTGACGAAACAAGCAGATGAAACAAAACTAGTAATTAATTAACTAGCAGATGAAACAAAAATTTAATGTAAAAGAAAACTTAGGAAATTAAGAACAGTCGGGAAGAGAGCCATTTCATCTACAGATTTCCGTTAAAATTAGCGGTTCTAAGTTGTTATGCAACCCTGTAAAACTTTTATTCCTAAACGAAAAAGAACCGAGAAGAGCGGGTGCTCCACTGAAAACTTCTCGATCAAACTTCGATGATGTTTTGAGTTTCGCGATCCAATAAAAAACGTGATCGACTTGGTTCGATTTGCTTCGCGATTCAGAATTAGCAATGATTTACGGTGAAGCTTCAACTCGGGTGACTGAACGCGTAATTTTAACGGACACTAATTAGTCATGTGGCAGCTGAAATTAAAAAAAAAAGTTGAATACACAAGTTAAACAGTTTTTCTGTTGAATATTTTTGTTTGAACAAATAATGCTAATGACCATACTTGATTGTTTTCTTTGTGATTGGGAACAAATTTAAAATTAAAAAAATCTGAATTCTAAGATTAAAATGATCAGTCTTCTGAGTTTGTTTGTAATTCTGCCATGGTGCCTCTTTTGAAGTGTGTCTTCTGCCGACTCTGCAGACATGATCCGAGTATCCCCTTCCTGTACTGCTCCCACTTGCGAGTGTCCTCGAACTTCCGTCTGAAGTACTGAAAGCATGCGCAACTATTACAAAGTTTGCCATTTTTGAAAATAATAACCCAGTGAGCCAACTTTAGGGTTCCATGGGAGCCTTTACAATTCCCCCCAGGGACGTTGGGGCGTACACATTTCCCCAAATCTCAGGGATTTGACCACCTCACCAACCAAAGGGTCTCCCTGGTATTTTTTTATGACAACCATTTTCGGCCGACCAAAAATTACGCGCGCCAAAAAATGCAATTTTTCGGTCAACATTTTCAGAAAAGTAGTCAAAAACAACATTTTTGGCCGCTCTTTTCAAAGAGTTGTCAAAATAGGGTCTTAATATTGTTAGCGTTCTGGGAGTGATCGGAAAACTAATTTGTTCAACCTAAAAAAAAATCAGCAACATTTTCTAAAAATTTTTGAAATTCTGACACCCCCGCCCCTCTAGAAAATCCTAGATCCGCCCCTGGATAGACCAATCTCCCATTTTGCATCAATGGTGTAGTTTTTTATTTCCATTAATTTTTGAGAGCTCATACGTATTTTTATAAACATGATTTTTCAGCTCACTTCTTTATCTGGGTATACTTTGACACTCTCCTTCATCTGTTTGAAAATGAGGGTGGTGGAGTGTTTGAGGAGGGTGGCCTTGTTGATGGAGATACACTCGCACCCGTTGCTCACCAGGGCCAAATTCGGCAGTTTCGGTCTCAACTGGGCCAGCATGTCCTCCGAGGTCTGTTCTTCGTCTGAGTCAGCATCTGGATCCGGTTGTTTCACACCAAGTGTGGAGAGACCCTGAAGTTATGGTTTTGTTGGTGTTCGCAGACCAACAAAATTTTTTTGTGGAACATGTGCAATTATTTCTTAACTATCAGTCATTTGTTTAACTAATTTTTTTTTTGATTTTGAAGAATGTTGGGGCGTTTGTAGTTTTTGTTCCCTTTTTGAAAGAAGTCCGGCAATAGTTTTTTTTCTGTGCGCCAAAACTTTTTTCACCCCTTTTGTTACTTTATGAACAAATCACAATTGCAGTTCTCAAATACACTAACGAACTCGTCTCCTCTCACTAAAGTGTCCACACAGACGAATACAGTCGTTCCACTGTCTCTGACATCCCCGCCTAATGACGTCACAGTCGAGTGAAGAGGCCTCGTATTGGCTGCTAAAACAATACGGGCATTGGCAAAATTACTCCAAAAAAATATTTCCATACCATTATCTTTTTGAAGCTCCCTTGATAACATTTTACGACATTAGCGATGACCAATAGGGCATTTTTGGACAAAATTTTGTGTGCTTTCTGGCCATTTAAAAATAGGATGGGCTCTTATTTGGTTATTTGCAGTTGATTTGCACGCAATGTACTGATAGTTTAGGCTTAGCAACCTGTGTTTTTTGAAAAATTGTGCTTTGCTGGAACAGTTCCAGGTCTCTTTTTCCCCTTCTCTCCAGCAGATACCACTGGTCTTTTGGCTGATGATCTAGTCACTGGCATTGATACAGTACCGGTCGCAGAGTTTGTGAGTTCAAGTCGGTTAGTTGGTTTGGGTTTCACAGGGGGTAAAAGATCTTCATAAGATGCTATTTTGGACTCTTTGACATCTTTTAACATGAGAAGTACTGAACACGAGCCCTAAAATAATCAATTTTCAAAATATTTATCAGGACGTATTTCGTAATTTGATATAAAGTTTGCTCACATCTTTGATTATGTATATCTGGTCGGTTCCGTTGATGTTCGAACATATCAACATGCCTCTCCTTGAATATTTGAAAACTAACTCAATTAAAAGTAACCAGAAAACGAGGAAAAGAATGGAAAATAATGTAATAAATGAATTCACCTGTAGTAGTAAAACTGACAGGATTCGTGTTCTGTTAACAGCTTGGAAATTGGCCACGTACTCAGAAACGGCACTTTCCTGGAATCGAAAATTCAATTAGCAAAAGAAATTTTTATAATCTAAAAAGCATTCTGACATTCCTTAAATTTTAATTTGATTTTTTTAATTATAGTTTTTTTTTTCATCGTTCCCAACAGCGGCTCTGATTGGCAGGGGAGGGGGTTCAAATCTCGGATTGCACCCAGGACCTATACAATTACATTTTTGGAGGCTCTATCTCGCACCCAGTTCATTCGAAATTTTTCTGAACTTTAAACAAAATGTAGGAAATGGTTTCAGCAATTAAATCAGCGCTTTACGTCGGAAAGTCATTTTAAATTTCATTTGGTAATGTCTTATGGAGTTTTGCGAACGGTTTTCTAGGTGGTTTACAATGATGATTAGAGCGAGTCCAGGTTTCCTACCATAGAAGATAATGCGCAACCATACTCATCCATATATGATTTGTACAGAAAATGTCTTCTCATACATTGTACAAAAAATTTGGCGAAAGCACTCAAGTACTTTTTTCAGCAATAGAAATAGCAGAAAAACCATTATTTTTATTATAGAAGCTGTTGGTAAATTTTTTATTAAAGCTTTTGTTGTGACCTTAGGAACTGAATGTGTTCTGGTTCGTCCGACTGGTTCTGTCCATGTCGCTTGTTCCTCGCCCTCTGCATACTCACCACCTCCATGAAGGCATCCTTCGACAGTACTAAGAGATCCACCGCATCCAAACTCACACAAGTCGCATTTCTCTTCATGTTGTTCAACAGTGCCTTCTCCTATGCAATTATACAGTGAGAGGTCAAAGGTCGAATCAGTTACAACTTGATCAGAAACTGTACACAATGAGAAGATTTTGTTCATATGTAGCGTCTTTATTTAAGTCTTTGAACCCTTTTTTAAGGGAATTTGGAGCTCCTGGTGCCTTCAAAGGGACCTTAATTGAGCTAAACCTGTCGCCGTTTTTTTTTTGTTTTTATTTTAATCAACCTCTAAACATTTCCGTTGAAGTGCAATTTTTTTCCTAGATGCCAAATTTATTTTTATCTTTATTACCATTTTACTTTTATGTACATTTTATTCCAATCAGACTATCGAAGATTCGGAGTGCGGTCTGTATTTAGACAATCGCATGTTCATACTCGTCAGTAAGCAGACAAATTCTATAGCAAAATCGAGATGAGAAAAGAGCAACTTACGAAACACACAATTTTAATTATTAATTTCTTCCGTGTCTTGATTCTGATCTGTTAATATAGTATTTGTCTTCTTAATGACAAATATGAATACGCAGTTGTCTACATAAATAACCGAATATTCCGATACTCATAATGATTGTTTGCTATATGTGCAGTGATGTGTCCTACCCCGAATGCTTGTCCCTTGGTGAGTATGTTGACAGTGCGTGGCTTGATCTCCCTGGTGAGGGGGTCCACATCTATCACAGACACCTCCACTCTGCCCTTCACCACAATGTAGTAGTTCTCACCCCTGTGACCCTGTCTCACAATCACCCGGTGTGGAGGGAAACTAGAAACAAGAAAGAGAACAAATTCAGACACTATGAAATTTGAATTCATTTACTGTACAATAATAAATGAAGAAATGAAAACTCAATTAATTTTGGCCAGAGGTTTTTCCGAAGAGCATTACTCCTCAACAAGCAGAAAACCTGAATCAGGAAATATAAAAAGTTACAAACCAGATACAAATTTATATATATAACAAGGATAGTCGGTTCTGTGCAAGTAGCAAACAATGTTCCGACCACATAATCTAAAAAAAAAATGGGCATGGCTATCAAAGCAAGCACTGTGACTACTATGATTGATGGCAAGTAAAGCCTATTCGACATCAAAGTTTTTTTCACATGAACTAAGGTCAATAAAAAAAGATAGCCGGTAGCACAGAATGATCCGACCATAGCCTTTAGAAAAAAAAGTATTTTCAAATTAGTGTCGTTTTTTTTCTGCGTGGTATGATGAAAAGATCTGAAACAAAAATAGAACTTAGGAATTTTAGACAGTTATAGTAAACTAGGCCAAGTGGAAAAAGTAACATAGAAAAATTACTAAAAAAAAAGAAAAAAAAATCGTTTAAAAAATTTAAAACACTTTTTAAAAAAACTTTTTCGCAGATATTTTTAATTTTTCGAAAATTTTTATTCCCAAAATGGCGCTGAAAAACTAACTTCACTCGGGAAAAACTAAATTTTCACGGCCTAAATTAGTTTTAATTAAGCTATTGTAAGCCTGAGCGCTAACTTATTAGCTCGAAATTAGACCAAAAACCAAAAAGTTGGAACCCGTTTTTCTCGACACTTGAAATTTTTTTGAAAACATTTTAATTTCTATCGAATCCTTGAAAAGATCTAAATATGGTATATTACTCAATCCATTCTGATGATTTTTTTGTGGTACCTGATTTTGCCTGGAAAACAAAAAAAAAGAAAAAAAATAAAACACCCGAATACAAAGTTCTTCCACTTTTTTCAAATATTCGGAAGAAAAAGAATGTTTCTAAAGTCGGATTGATACAATTTCTCAAACGAGAATTTTTTTTAAGTGTGTGATGAACTTCAAATGTGTGATGACGAGGTTAAAGTGTAAAGGAGATAAAACTTGGGGTGTCTTTTTTCCACGAAACGATTTGAATTCAAAATTTATTTTGTTTCTGGGTGTTGTCTTCAGCTAAAGTTCTGGGTATGTTAACAACCCCTTACATCCCTCCCACCCCTGATTTCTCAAAAAACTCGGAGTGCAACAAATTTTGTTACAATAGGGCCTTTATAGTGTTTTGACTGATCTTGAAAGATGATTTTAAAAAATTTCGACAACCCTTGTAAACATTTTTTGCAAATCTGCCCCTCGAGAATTTTCTTGATCCACTCCTGTATGTTTTGAAAAATAATAATTTTTTTCGGCGCGGAGATCGAGCTCAGTCTAGAATGTGGGAAAATTATAAAAAAAACGATTACTCAAAAATCAAAACCCTATCGTTGAGTGATTTTTATCGTTGAGTGAACCACGTATTTTAGTGTGGTTACAAAATAAGTCTTATTACGAAGATTGACTCACCTGTCCAGCCATACTCTGCTGGCTATTTTGTCGAGGATATTAGTGGGGAACTCCACGAATTGGGGTACCAACTTAAGGCCACTGAAGATCTGAACAAACACTTTTTTCGAGTTACCTCAGGATGGCAATCGCTTTAGCAATTGATTGATTTCATGTTGTCGTGAAGCTTACTGTTTCGATGTCTTGTTCTGTTCTGGAGTAGAATGGGACCTGCAATGCCAACTTGCACTCTTTCGGCAACTCTTTCTGTTTAAACAAAGCGAGCAATAAACTTATTGCAATCAATGCCTATTTGAAGAATAGCCAGTTGATGTGCAGGTAGGCAGAATGTTCTGACAACACTCATTTATTCAAAAATGAATATGAAAACAGAAAAAAAAATTTGAAGTCGAAAAAAAAATTTTTTCGTCTAAATTGCCAGTTTTTTCCGATAGTGAACAATTATATTAGGTGAAGAAGTAAAAATGTAAAATAACGTTAACATTGTAACCAGGCAGAGGTGGATTTAGGAGTCGGGACTCGACCCCCTCGCCAATCAAAGGGTCCCCCCTTTGGTATTATTTTATGACATCCGTTTTAGGGCGACCAACCTTAAAAGGTACTTTTGGCGCCAATTTGTACTAATTTGGAAGGGGAGCGCGCGCCGAAAAAGCGCAATATTTTGGTAAAAAGGTTCCAAACACGGCATGTTTGACTTGCTTTTTCAAAATTTAATCCTGTGGCGCAAAATTTTTGGTCAAAATACGATCTTTATAGTGTACTGAAGTTTTGTTGGGAGTCCGAAGCACGACCAATATGGTTTGACTCGACAAAATTTCTGTGAGACGGCCGAATCGGTAGAAAAACAATACCCCATGCCGTAGTTCATTCCCTTCACTTCGTGAGTTGGGTGGACAAAAAGCTTATAATTGTAGTCCAGACTAAGATTTGTAGATTGGGCTAAAACATGAGAAAATTTTGATTCGTAAACGCAGCGTGGCTCGAAAAAAAACAGATTTATTTTGAAACGACCTCTTGATTAGGTATAAATATACCGTAATATGTTTTCGTTTTAACCAGATGCTCTTTTAGCTAGTTTTAAAAAAGCTCATTTTGGGGGAGGGGGTGATAGAACACATACCTTTTTACGGAGAACTTCTGAAACTCTCCTTAAAATGAAAAATGGCACCTTTAAGAAAATGACTGCGTCAAAAAGTATTCGTTTGTACACATCTGTTGTTTATATGCAATAAAAAAACCGTTATGAAA